CCGGAGGCTGAGACTCCTCTGACAGCAAAGCACAGGGCATCGGCTTCACCGTGCCTTCCACTGTCGGGGCCAGCACAGGCAGGAGCAGCCGGCACCGTCCCCAGCGCTCAGCCCAGGACACCCCCGGGCCACCGCCGCAGGAATATCCCAGCTGCCCGACAGCGGGAGTGCGAGCAGCTGCCCCGCCTGGGACCCAGGCAGCTGGAGCCCTGAGCAGGTTCCCCAGCAGTGTGTTGGCGTCACCAGAGACCCCCCGTCGTCCCCCCTCACATACACTTCAGGAAGGATCCTGAGCAGCTCCCAAGGGCCCCGCTGCAGCATCGAGAGAAGTCCTAACTGCCCGGGATCCATGTTTCTGAAGAGAAGCAGACAGAGCCATGTGCTCTATGCTAGAGACAGAAAAGGTCTCGTGAGCCGTGTGCTGCAGAGGGATGATGAGCTGCAGGGGTGGGCTTGGGCGGGAGGGCAGGAAACAGCTGCAAAGAGATCTGAAGTGGGGCAGGAGGGAGTCACAGAGGTCCTAGAGGGAGAGCAATCCCGAAGGGGATGCAGGACTGGTTGCTGAAGAGCAGCAAGGGACATGGGTGCCAAGCAGCAGAAGGGGCTCAGAGGGCTCAGCACCCAAGGGCCCAGGAGGTCTGCGAAGCTCCTGAGTGCCCGGTGAGGGGCACATTTCAGGGAAGACAGGAAATGTGCTGAGGCAGCTCCTCCACCCAGCAACTCTGCCTGGAAGATGGCCATGCTGTCCCCAGGGCATCCACGCGCCCACTGGGCACTGTGAGGAGGGGCAGCAGGCGCCCAGATGGGCTCTGACTCCTCGGGAGGTGGCTGGCAGGAAGAGGAGGACATCCAGCCTGCAGAGCGCCCGACGTGGGGAGCAGAGACGGGGCCTGCAGTCACATGAGACAGCGTGTGCAGCGCCCCTGGGAAAGTGAGAGCCCTCGCACATGCAGATGTTGGAAACCCAAGGAAGCCACGTGCTCAGGACCAAGCCAGAGGCAGACGATCACGGAGACATCGCTGGCCACAGGGACGCAGTGGTGGCCTCAACTCACCATGGAAACAAAGACAGGCATGGGCTCAGTGCCAACCTGCAGGCAGCCCAGGCCGGGTACGTAGAAGGCCTGGTGGGGCGAAGGGGAAGAGGGGGCCCGGGGGCAACCTCAGGGAGCAGACAGGGGCAGAGGGGTCCCAGAGCCCCTGTCCCAGGAGCCCACTGCTGCCCCGCCAAGCCCCTGATCTGCCCGGGACAGTGTGGGCTCAGCCAAGCTGGCCGAGGCCCTGGCACCTTCCCTTGGTGCGGCCCCAGTCAGAAAGTCGATCCCCTCACAGACCCGCAGTGTCTGAGGGGCCCTGCAGGCTCAGTCCACACAGGTCCATCTGAGCCACAAGGGGCACAGCCGGCTGGGAGCCTGGGTTGTGCGTCCTGCATTGGTCAGTGCTAGAGATGCTGATGGCCTTCGAGAAAAGGACGGAAGTGACCCATGGGCTCACATCCGGGTGGCTTGGGGGGCACCTGGACCGCAGGGCAGCAGGAGGAAGCCTTTGGCCAGCTCGCGGATGTGGAATGACTAGCCCTAAAGTTATGGTCTGGGGCCACCAAGAATATGTGTTGTTTGGGCCTGGCCCAGGTGTTGGGGTCAGAACATCTAAAAATAACCTGTGACACCGGCTCCCACGCCGAGGCTCCCACCGTGACAAGGCTGAGCTGGGCTCTGAGCCCCTCATCCCCTTCCCACACCCCCACGCCGGCTGAGGGCATTGAGGGTGTTGCAGGAGAGAAGGGATGCAGGCCCCAGGGAGTGGCTGCAAGTGGCTTAGGGCAGCAGAACCCCTGCCTCAGGGCGCCAAGGCTGGAGAGAGCCTTATAAGGCTCCTGGTCAGCACCAACACCAAGAATAGCCCAGCCTTGCCTCGGCCAGCCGGCGCCAAACAACCAAACCCCTGGTCAAGCCCGCGCTGGCTACTTCCTTCCTGCCGAGGCTGGGGGTTGGGGCTGGGGACACTGCTGGCTGCTCTGTGGCACATGCACACGTGCTCACTGTGCTCACATTCACACTTGCACACGTGTCCACACGCCCAGAGGGTCACCCCCACCCTCAGTGTCCTGGGATCCACAGGACACCTGCCACCTCCTGTCCTGATGGCCGTGGAAACAGAGGACACTGACCCTGCCTCCACATGAGGCCTGGACAGCAGCCGGGGTGGTGGCCTGACAGGAGGACAGGCACAGGGGCAGAGGCTGCAGATCCTGGCCTCACCTCTGCACACCTTGGCTGGGCCCACTCTACAGCACCCGAGGACATCAGCGCCCACCAGGCAATGCCCAGCATGGGCAGGCACTTCCACTGGCCCCAAAGGGCTCAGTGCAGAAGACAAGCACAGCCCTGGCACACTGGCCCTGGGCATGGCTGGAGCAGGCTCTGCCTGGAGGGTGCAGATCAGGGAGCCAGGCCCCACCAGCCACATCCTCAGCCTGCTGGCAGGTCAGGCTGCGCTCTGGCCGGTGTGCAGCGGAGTCTGCTGGGCGTGGTACGCCTGCCACTGCGCCTTCTCTGGGCCATGTCTGCCAGAACCAGGCTGCTTGTCCTCTGCGTGAGTTCTAAGGGTGTCTGCATGCTCCAGACAGCGTGTGCTCCCTTATCGGACGTGTCTTTCATGAACACTCCCTTCCAGTCCCTGCGGCTTCTTTCTCCGGCATCCTCTTTTGCAAGGTGGGGTTTCGGTTTTAACAACGTGCGTCTGACCCTAGATGTGTTCGGTGTCACATCTACAAAGTCGTCCTCAGGCCCACAGTCACCTAGGTTTGCCTGTGTTCTCTGCTAGGGGTTCCACTGTTTTGCACCGTGCAGATCTGCAGCTGCTTTGAGTGAACGAAAGCACGGGGTCTGGGAGGCCTTTAAGTTTTGCACAAGGTGCCCAGGTGCCCAGGTGTCCCACAGGGTTTGCTGAAAGGACCCGGAGCTGTTCTACCTGTTCCTTCCTCTGGCACTTCCTGTCGTCAGGTTCCCCGAGCTCCAGGCACTCGGTGAAGACGACGCCAGCCATGTCTCAGTCTAGGGAGGCACCGCACCATGGTCCTCAGTGCTCCTCTCTGGACGCCTGTGCTGTTGTCACCCCGCCCAGTAGCCATGCAGGGGACAACGCAGAATGGTCCCATGGGAGGAAGCGGTGCCCTGAGCCGCATGCGTGACCCAGTCTGTACAGGGTCAGAGGCCCAGGGGCTTCCAACAGGGCTTGGACGCCAAGGGCTGAGCCCCGGTGGCCGTCCAGAGAACCACACGGCCCTGGACTATGCGCTTCTAAATGGAGGCCAGGGTGGGAGCTGATGTGCGAAGCCCTCACTGGGGTGTCCTGGAGACTCTGGGGACCTGCCGCTCCCTTCCAGGGCAGAGGACATAACCTGCTCACAGGCAGAAACAAGACCCCAGGGTGGCGGAAGGCCCAGATCTGAGCCTGCGCTCAAGTGCTCCAGAGCGGCACGCCTCGGTCCGGAGCCCCGTGCAGCTGACAGACCTCCGCTGATCTTGGCAGGAAGGGTCACAGGAAGTGAGAAGCGGGTGAGACTGTTTAGTCTTCTGTCTTTTGCTGACTCCGGGAAGGGCTGGGGTGCCCGGCCACGAGCTGGGATCCACGGGGCTGCTCTGCAGGGCCCACATGTGGGACCCTCGCCCGACTGAAGATGTGGTCCCTGCTCGGGGCTCTGGACCAGCTCCACCCTGGTGGGTGGCACCGTGTGCCAGCGGGCCAGGTGGCGCCTCGTCCAGAAGCCCGCTGAGCACGCGCTGCCGTGCCTCTCCATCCTCCTCAGCGCTGTGTCCACACTGTCACGGCCTGGGCACGGAGGGCTCTGCCCACCTGGCTGGAGGACATCGTCCTCGAGGGCTGGGACCACCAGACGCCCTGCTGAGCCTGACATCGCGCTCGCACAGCTGACACCCACAAGTATGGTGTTGCAATCCTAGTATTTACAGGGCTCCTCTCCACAGCCCAGTGTGCTATAAACACACAGGGCCCCGCTCTGGGCTGCGTCACTGCGGTTTAGGGGGACAGATCCAACCACAAGTTCCCGGCTCTGCTTCGACGCCCTCATCCTGAGACTGTGTCCAGTGGGAGGTGGCTGGGGTCACCCTTTCCTGCTGAGAGCTTTGGAGGGAGGGAGGCCCTGGACGCCACCATGACAGCAGCTGTGCAGAGTGTGTGTGCACGCCTGTGTGTGCAAGTGTGCCCGACATCCTCACAGGCAACCTGCACCCCCTCCTGGACAGCACCGCACCTTTCTGCATGCCTCTGCACGTGTTTTGTGTGCACGCGTGCTTACGTCCTACTGGTGTGCACCTGTGCCCGGACACACACATGTACCTGTGCACACCGCCCAGGCCCATCTGGCACGAAGCTGGTGAAGGCCGAGGCTGTGGCTGGCACAGCCTCCCCTGGTCACGGGTGTGACCCTGAGCGGGGGCCGGGCTGGGGTCCTGGCCAGACACCTTACCCCAAGTGAATGGCAATGCCAGACGCAGCTGGGGGACATGGTTCCCAGGCCCCATCACGTCCCAGAGAGGCGGAGGATGGGGGCCGAAACATGACAGGGAACAAGGGCCCTTTGTGCTGTGGACGATGGCCCTGCTGCCCAGACCAGAGCTTCCCCCAGCACTGGAGCACAGCCTGCATCCTCCAAGCTACCCTGGGCTCGGGGGCGGGGACCCTGGCTGTAAGGGAGGCTCCCTCTCCCCAAGGGACACTTTCAGGTCCCCTGTTCACACACAGCGCATTTGCGATGACTGGCCGGGCTCTGGACCCGTCAGAAGAGTGCCTGGGCCCTCGAGGAGCCCTCGGCCTCCCCACTGCCTGACCAGCATGCTCAGGTCCAGAGTGGGGGAAGGAATGCCCCTCTAGGAGGTACCCCACCTGGTTTTGGAGGAAGCCAATACCTCAGAAGACTGGTACACGAAGAGCAGGAAGCCAGGGCCCCAGTGCTGGGGGCCGAGGCCAAGACCGAGGCTAAGGCAGCAGCAGGATCGGTGTCTCTGCTTCCAAGATGGCGCTGCACTTGGCACCCTCACAGAGCAGTCCTCATCCCGCAGGGCACAGCACTGGGGCCTGCACAGGACGCTGGAGGGCAGGCACAGGGGCCAGGCCCACGAAAGGGACAGAGAGCCCCCACCTAGCCCTGGAAATGCAGGTCACGTAGGTGGCGTTGCCATGTCACCCACTCACAGGAAAGGAGGTCTCTGCTGGGCAGGAGGGGTCGGGGGAGTGGAGGCCTTGCCAGGACTGCGCAGCCTCGCTGTGCCCTGCTGGGGATGGGCAGTATCAGAGGATGGCTGTGGGGAGGCCGAGTTCACAGAGGGGACACACGGAAACCCACAGCACAGGCGGCAGCACAGGACTCGGGGTGCAGAGGCCCTCAGATGCCTTTGTCCCCCGCTCGGTTGAGCTGTGCTCCTGAGTGGCCTGGGTGAGGCTGTTGTCCCTGGAGACCACAGGCAGCAGTGGGGAAAGCAGGGCTGCATGGAGTGGGAGTGGCAGCTCAAGGGGGTTCCCAGGCCCTGGAAGCCCGGCCGCTGCTCAGCGTCCTTTCCTGGCCATCTCAGGTCCTAGCTTTCCCAGCTTCAGGACATCAAGATGGAAAGTTGTGGTTTTCAAGTCTGTTGAGGGGGATGACAAACAGCATTCCAGCCCTGGGGGTGTGCGGCTTGCAGGACTGGCCAGCTGCAGAAAATTCCAGGGAGCACATGCAGCGCAGAGGGCTGGGGGGGTCCTTGGACGAGCTGTGGGGCTGCAGGGATGAAATTCCCGCTTTTGGTCCTTATCGTCCATGCTCAGGAGGCCTGTGCCTATCTCAGGGTGTGTGGCCGGAGCCTGACAGGGTCCGTCAGCCTGGACGCCAGCCCCAGCCCTGGCTGAGGGACCCTGACTGTTGGACATGGTCCTGGCCCTGTGACACCAAAGCCCACCCGACTGGCACACTGCCTCTCACCCTCAACCAGCTCTGGCCGACCTTCCCACCAGCCGTGGCCGGGGGGGGCGCTCCCGGAGCTGGGCACAGACAGGCAAAGAGGACAGACAGACAGGCAGAGGCTGGAGACAGGGAGACAATGGCGGCGACGGAATCCAGATGCCCAGATTGCACCTGTCTCCTCCACTCTGCTTGTTGGCCTCCTCCAAAACCCTCTTGGCCTAAGGCCCCCACCCGGTTCGGTCGCCTGTAGCAACCTGAGGCCCCCAGCCAGCATGGAGAGGGAACCTCGGCCTGGGACGCTTGGTCTGGGCATTTGGGCACCCCCCACGCTTGCTGTTGTAACTGCCCCCTTCTTAGCCTTTGATATTTGCCACAAATTCCATTCTGATGGTGAAGCCACCCGGGTCCTGTGTCCCTGCTTGGGGTGTGAGTCCAAGCCCGTGGGGAATATTCGCCCAGTGGGACCACCTGGTCTGGGAGGGTCCCACAGAGGAGGTGTGGGAGCTTCTCCAGCCACCCCAACCCAAGGCGCGTTCCTGTGAAGCCGGGCCACCCTCTGCCTGCAACGCCCACTGACCACGTCTGCGCCACCTGCAGGGCACCACTAGCAGCCCACCTCGGCTTCCTTCCTCTGAGGAGCTTTCTGCACATCGCCACCCTCCGCCAATGGGCACAGGAGCACGTGCAGTGACTTTAGACGGGGCCTTTAGGGAAACCTCTGCAGTCGCCCGTGTAAATGCTCTTTTGTCTGCGCCATCAGACATAGCCCGTCTCATGTCGGAGAGCCCAGTTGTATGCTGCAAGCAAGGAAGGTAACAAAGTGGAGGGAAGGGACTTGGGGACCACAGCACCGCACCCCAGCTCCCATGACAAGCACACAGAGCACGTGTCTGCCGTGTCCCCCGAGGTCCTCCCAGGGTCCTGGCATCAGGGAGAGGTGGCTGATTTTGCCCTCACAGAAGACACCTGGCAGTTGCCTTCCACAGGTCAAAGGGAGCCAGGGGGACAGGAGCAAGAGATACAGGTTTGTGAAGCTGCCAGGTACCTAAAAGCCAGACAAATGGGTCATTTCCTGAGAAACTGGAACGTACCACTCAGCTCAAGTAGAAACAGGAAACCCATTGGCCCCATGAAGAGGGACTGAAAACACAGCAGTCAAAAGAGGCTCCAGACTCTGGACAGTGCGTGACAGGCCCGGCCCCTGGGAATGATGTGCAGGGAAGGACGGAGCCTCCTTCTGGGCCAACCACACCTCTGGGCCTGTTTCCTCACTTGAGCTCCTCAGATGGTCACGAAAACAGTAGCCAACACAGGGTAGGCTGGGTGAAGATGTAACTCACAGGAAATGAATTCGAGGAATCGCGTCCGGGCATGGTGACACTGGACTCAGGAGAGGCCGTGAAGGGTCAGGTCAGCCCAGCGGGAGTGGAAGCACCCTGTTCCCTTCTTCATAGCTCACCAACAGGTGGAGACACAGCTAGCAAGGCCAACACACACACACAGCCACCTTGCTTATAACCAGGTCACTACTGCCCTAAATAAAAGTACCAGCAGACAGGGCCCAGGGCCCAGGAGCAGCACGCTGCCCGCAGGAACGCACAGATGTGACAGCCCGGGGATCATTCACACCATCACTGCATGACAAGGCTTGAAGGGGGACCGCGAGCGTGTCAGACAGTTCCCCAAGCCCCAGCATCAACGTGGTGACTCTGGGGCAGCAGGACCTGCCCCCCTCCTGTGTCTGTGCCCTTAGGAGCCTGCCCTGCATCTTCTGCCTCTTGGGGGCCTCGGCAGGTGGGGGAGGGGAGACCGTGCCCGACTGCAATCTCATGGTCTCCGCCTTGGCGCCTGGCTCTCTCTGTGCTGCTCGTGCTGGCAAGGAGGCTGGGCCATGCAGCCTGTCCATGCCTCTGTGAGGCTGACCTCCGGAGAAGTCCTTGGAACCAGCCCTCCCAACGTAAACACACGCTGTTTAGGAAAGCACATTGCGCACTTTTTGACATTTGCCATTGTTTTGCTCCCAGAAAGCCCTGTGGGACTCCCATGTTTTTTTTTTGTTTTTTTTTTTTTTTTGAGACTCCTACCTTCTGTGGCCTGCTCACCCCAGGAAACCCGTCCCCAGAATCCAGCTGTGGGGAGAACCCATCCTCTGTGGGGCCCGGGACAGCCGCAAGCTGTCCTGTGGCATTTAGAGCCAAGTCAGGGCCAAGTCACTCTCAAGAGCACTTGTAGGAATGGGCGCCTTGTTTCATTTTCACTAACAGACCTGGGGTGGCCTCCAGCCTGGGGCCTCTGCTTCAGGACACAACTGGTGACAGACAGCGGGGGGACAGCTGGGTGGTCACACTTCAGGGCTCACTGGATCCCTCTATGCCTGAGGAAGGGCCCTGCTGGCCCTAGAAGTCAGGTTAAGGATGCCTGAACTGGGCAACCCAGCAGAGGTGCCAGCCTGACCCCGTCTCACACCAGCACCCTGAGCTGCACCAGCTGCCTCTCTGATGACCCCTTGGTCACTGGGTGGCCTGGTCTGCGGCACCTCCTCAGCTGGGGAGCCCTGGGCTGACCCCGAGGGCATCCTGGCAGCTGTCTGTTCCAGCCACAGGTGCTGCAGACAGGAGCTCTTGCTCTGCGCTGACTCCTAAGCCCCCTCCTCCTTCGACTGCCAGGGACGAAACACAGTTTTCCTACCAGAGGGTGTGGCGTGCAAGGAGCGAGTCCGCATTAGGCCCAGGAACTCCAGTGCCCAATCCTGGCCCCTGAGTGACAGACCAAGGAGCAGGGCTACAGGGGCTATGTATTCTGTGCCAGTGCCCCCAGGACAGCCACTGCTCCAGGGTCCCTGACCACACCTTTCATGGTTCCCATGTCCAGCCACTGCCAATGTCACCTCTTGTGACCTTGTGCCAAGTGCTTGCTGTGTCCACTTCCTTATAACTTTGGTGTGGTATCTGATGTCCCCAAGCTATCTCTCAGCCCTGTCACCTTCACAGCCCATGTGCCTCCTACCCTCCCACCCTCACTCCAGGGCCACCCCAATTGTGCGTGAACAAGACTCTGATATGAGGACAGGAATGGGCAAACCATCCCCAGGAACAGAACCCCGGCCACAGTCCCTCCATCTGTCCCTCCTCTGAAGAGGACGCATGCCCACCCCACCCTGCAGCCCTGTGCCCTGCGGCCAGGATCCAGAATCCTTCCTCCTCAGATGCCTGGTCCTCACAGCTGCCGTGGCCTGGGTGGGAGCCCTGTCCCTGTCCCTGTCCCTGCACTCGGGCTGGGGTGCTGACCCTTCGGAACTCTGTGGGGACAGACAAGACATCAGGGCCCAGAGGGTGTCACAGTACAGGTGCTGCCAGGTGTGGTCTGAGGACCTATGAGTTGCTCCTGCCTGGGCATGGGTCACGGGTGTTCCTATCCTTGGGAGCTGGGGCAGGTGGAAGTAAGTGGCACAGAGACCACAGCTGAGCTGAGTTCCTAAGGACAGGCATGCATGCGTGTGTGTACGTGTATGTGTCTGGGTGTTCACGCCACACAACCTTGGGCAGAGGGCAGGAGAGCTCGGTGGGAGAGAAGCCTCCTTCCGCCCTCTTGTGGTGGCATCAGGTGGCAGCTACTGTGGGTTCCAGGGAGCCTTCCCTAGAGTCCCCAGGTTGTGGGCCCCTAGTGTGGGGAGAGGGGCCTTTTCCAGGTCCCCTGTGTGGGCACTGCATCATGACAAGTGACTCAGACACCCTCCCAGTGCCATCCTGCCACAGCCACAATCCAGGGGTCAATGGCCAGCTCACCAAAGCCTTGGGGGGGGTCCCAGAGCCAGAATGGGCCCGTGAGGCGTCCCTGATGGGGTCTCCTATTTCCAGAAGCAGCAGCAGAATGGCCAGGGGCAGAGTCTGCCCCAAATCTTACTACCTTGAGTGGACTCCCCTGGCCTCTGCCTATCAGGAGTGGACACTGTGGCCACCCTGTTGTAAGCCAAGCAGCTCCTTAGCAAAGCAGGGTGGGTCCTGGGGTGGAGTCTGGGCAGGGATAGAGCCACTGCAGGAAACGCTGAGTGGTTTGCCTCTGTGGTCTGGGGCTCTCCTCGGGGAGGGGCTGCGGGTGCCTCTCACAGCCCAGCACTCAGGTCTTCTTAAAAGGGCAAGTATGTAGCTGGGTGTGGTGGTGCATGCCTGTAACCACACCACTCTGGGAAGCTGAGGCAGGAAGACCGCAGGGTCAAATTTAAGCCCAGCCTGGGCAATTCAGCAACTTAGCAAGACCTTTAGAAAAATTTAAAAGGCTGGGATACAGCTCAGAGCAGATGCCCTGGGTTCAATCCCCAAGACTTCCAACCCCCAAAGGAAGTAAGACTCCATTCTCAGACATCCCACAGGCTCCTCTGCAGCCAACACAGCCAAGAGGGGCCACTGCCCTCCAGCTGTGCATCCTGGCCCGGCTCCTGGCAGCAAAACCTCAAGGGGAGACACCCCGGAAGGACTCTGTGTTCAGGGACTGGACACGCTGAGCCCTCAGACTGCAAGTGGGCCACACACAGAGGGTCCCAGGCCCCAGTGCACCAGGAAGGCCCAGCCGGGAAGCACCCAGCCACTGTCTGTCCAAGTACCTGACTGACACAGGCCGAGAGGAACCAGCCAGCCAGGTCTTCTACTGTGCCTCTGAGGGCTAGACAAGAGGCTGGTGCAGGCAGCAAGGGCTCCCCGGAAGAGCAAGTGTCCACGACCTCAAGGGGCTCAGATCCAGGTACACAGCACAGGACTGAGCTGCACAGCCGCCACAGTTCATCTCTGTACGAAACGGCACCCCACCTCTCCACTCTTTCTGTGTTCTGACCAGGACTCCCCTAGACCAGGCCACCAGGGAACGTCGCTGTTCAGGGTGTGGACAGAAACTGCCCAAAGCAAGCTCTTTACCGCATCTGCAATCCAGAGGACAGCTGGGGTCTGGGATCAGGTGCAGTCAGACCGGGACTCCTTAACCTGGTCAAGGTGACTGCGCCTAGGTGATTTCAGGGCTGGGGACCCCGTACTCAGGGACCAGCGAGCCGGCGGGCACCCAGAGCCCGGGCCTGGCAGACAAGGACGCTGTCCCCCACCGGCGGCATCACTCTCCCAGATAGCACAAGGAGCAGGTCCGGGTCATCTCGGGGAGACACGATACTCGCTGGGCGACGGCCTTCGGGCCAGCTACCCGGGGCACCACGCGGCCCTGTTCCGGGACTCGGACCAGAGCCCGGCGCCCCAGGCTCCGCCCATTACCCGCGGAAAGCTCAGGGCGCAAGCGCGAGGGCGGGGCCTCCCCGCGTTGCCGTGGCTACAGGCGACGCGCTCCGCGGGGGCGGAAAAAGTGCTAGCTTCCGGGACAGACGCCGGGCTGCCGGAATTGCGTGGCCGCCGGGGCCATGGCGGCGCTCGCCGTCGTCTGCCTGCTGGTCCAGGCTGCTTCCTGGCCGCTGATCACGGCCTCGGGCGAGTTCTGGCCCGGCCAGTCGGCAGCGGACATCCTGTCGGGGGTGGCGTCCCGCAGACGGTAAGCGCGTCCGTCTGCGCGCGCGACGGGGATGGTTGGTCAGCGGGTAGGGTCACTGGGGTCGCGGTCAGCGGTGGAGTCGCTGGGGCTGCAGTCCACGGGTGGTGGCGGTGGGTGAGGATCTGCCCTTCCTGGCCGGCCCATCCGCGGTGGGCGTGGGGCTATCTGCTCCCCTCCTTTGGCGGTTAAGGGGCTGTGGCGCAGACTGGATCTCAAGCCGGTGCCTGCGTGGGACGTGGGGATGGAGATGCCCAGGCCCATACCAAGGCCGGCGGTGATAGGGTTGGCACGGAGGGTCAGGGGACCGGACTTGGTGAGGACGTCGGTCCCCATGTTCGGGACCCCTGAGTTCTCTGAACCGGGTCCACACCTCACCCAGGATGTGGCCACCAACTGTATGCAACATAGGAGAGCCCAGCTATTGCCAGACCCCAAAGAAATGTGCCAAAATTAATAACATCACCAGTCATTTCACTATTTCTGTTTTGAAACATACCTTATGTTGATTTAAAAAAACCTCTTTAACACGTAACACATTTATTATTTAAGTTACTTAAAACATGTTTCTAGCTTTAACTTCTGACACAGGAACTAGCAGGAGAGTTAACTCTCCTAAACCACTGCCTTTTGGGGCCCTGAGTGACTCAGGGGTCCTTAGACCTGGCACTCTTGAGAGACTGCTGGCACTGCACATCGTTAACTAGCCTTAAGGTGTCTGCTCCTTGGACTTGGGGGGCTCGCTGTGGAAACGGTGGGAAGCAAGGCGCCGAGCCGCAAAGGGAGCTGTGTCCCAAGCAGGGCCTGGCTCAGGAGCCCCACTGCCCCGTTCAGGTACCTCCTGTACGACGTCAACCCCCCAGAAGGCTTCAACCTCCGCAGAGACGTCTACATCCGTGTGGCCTCCCTGCTGAAGACCCTGCTGAAGAGTGAGGAGTGGGCGCTTGTCCTGCCCCCTTGGGGCCGACTCTATCACTGGCAGAGTCCCGACATCCACCAGGTCCGCATTCCCTGGTCTGAGTTTTTCGATCTTCCAAGTCTCAACAGAAACATCCCTGTCATCGAGTATGAGCAGTTCATTGCAGGTGAGGCCTGGTGCGAGCTGGCAGCGGTGGTGTAGCAGAGAGCAGTCCTCCTCCGTCCACATCGTCACCGTCAGGCCTGCTGCAGGGCTACTCCGGCTGAGCCCCGCTCCCTTCCCCAGCCCACCAGCTCCTTTCCAATTTCTCAGCAGACAGGGCCGAGGTGTCTGGAAGCAGCCAGGTGCTCCAGAGCTCGTGTGAAAGCAGGGACCTGGGTGCCTCCCCAGAGGAGAGGCTCTTTTGGCTTGCCGTGCTGGGGGTGGCTTCTGTCAGACACCTCTCATCTAACTCTGCTGCTTCCTCTTTCCTTTTCCATCTTTCTGACAGGAATAAAGCTTTTCTTAGTGTAAGGACAAATTTTATTTATTGCCCTTTGCCTGCACGGTCTCCTAATTAATTTGGCTTGATCCGCTAAAAGAACGTCCACCAGCCTTAAATAAGTACAAAAGGGAAAGTTTATTGAAGGATATGCGCATACAGAAAACAAAAGTAAGAATGGAGAGGACAAAGAGAGTCCTCTAACAGCAAGAGGGACTCTATCCGGGAAATTACCCTTAGGCTCTCTGGCAACAACACCGGAATGTTGGAGGAATTAGGTGCATCACCCGCAACACAGCACGGGTCTCTTCAGCAATCCCTTCGGCTACAGGTCTCAGTCCCGGGCGTAAGACAGCAGCAGCAGCCTGGGCTAGGTGGGCTGTTTATATAGCTCTCTAGACAAAGGTAGTAAAACTACCTGTACTTTTGGCGCGGAAAAAGGTGAATGTGCTTGCAGTCACGTCCCAACCAGGCCCTGGCCTGGGGTCCGGGAGGGGCGGAATGCATCACATTCCTTATCTTGATGTTAAGAACATCTGGTCTTTTTAACAAAGTCCTTCCTGCTTTTTTCCAGGGAACTGGCCAGGTATCCAGGGAAAGAAGAGGTGAGCTAGTGATTATGCGCCTTAGAGAGCCGAAAGCCTTAACCCAAGCCTTTCCAACTTAAAGTTTTAACTTTCCTTACACTTAGGACAAAGCATTTAGAGCTCACTGGCTTTAGTTGCAAGAGGGAGGCCTGGAAGCACAGGAGAGGAGCTGGAGAGGCCCAGCTGGTGTGCAGCGGGCCGATGGGCAGGGCTGGCCGTGTTCTCACCGTGTGGCACACTCGCCCCCATGGTGCCTGGGCTCTCCAGGGTTTTTCCCGTTCGTGGTTCTGGCTGTCCCTCTTGCCCCCAGGATTGGTGGCATCACCAGGACTGGTGCTCAGATGTGGCAGGCGGCTTCTCCAGCCTGGGTGGGAGCAGTGGGGAAGGAGACGCAGGCCCTCTTGGAGGTCTTGGGGGTGACTAGCAAGTGAGCCCGTTGTAGGGAGTGCGGGGCCCCTGGGTGTTGGGCAGGCACCAAGGGGGGCAGCCCAGGAGCAGAGGGAGGGGCGCTCAGCGGAGGAGTGAAGCAAAGGCACTGAGTGCAGCAGGGGTGAAGGCCGCCCAGCAGGGCCTGGGCAGAGACCAGGGCCACTGTGATGGGCGCTGGAGGGCGGCCGACGGCATTGCCCCCATGCCTTCCTCTAGTCCTCTTGGGAGCAGGCAGCATGGGAGAGCCGTGAGAACCCGTGCGGCGGCTCCCCAGGGGTCACAGTTGCAGACACGTTCCCCTGTTCTTCCACAGAGTCCGGCGGGCCCTTCATCGACCAGGTGTACGTCCTGCAGGGCTATGCAGAAGGCTGGAAGGAGGGTGCCTGGGAGGAGAAGGTGGACGCGCGGCCCTGCATTGACCCGCTGCTCTACTCCCAGGACAAGCATGAGTACTACAGGTAGCACTGCGGGCCCGGGCTCCCCAAGCACAACTCATGTTGCTCACCGTCCTGAGGCCCAGGCTGGCGGAGGCTACCTCCTATCCTGGTGCTGATGAGGGCACAGTCTTTTTCAAAGACCTCTGACCAGGACATGCTCGTCCCCCACCCCTTTATTTTGCAGTGCTGGGGACTAAACCCAGGGCTTTGTGGCCGCTGGGCAAATGCACTGCCACTCAGCTATAGCCCCAACCCCTTTTGAGCTTTTGCGACACTTTTTACTAAGTCGCTGCGTTGCCCAGGCTGGGCTCCAGCTTGCAGTCGTCCTGCCTCAGCCCCCGCCAAGTAGCTGTGATTACAGGTATGTGCCACCTGGCTTCACTGCCATTTCTGAGGCACTTGGGTGTGCACGTGAGTGGTGGCCTTATCTCAGTGTCAGGCGCCATCTGAAGCTCTGGTCTGTTACCTCCACAAGGAAAGGTCGTGTCAGCCTCCTGGGTGTGCAACGCTTCAGGGTGAGCTGACCTGAGAGGACAGCGCTGTTCTGCTGGTGCTGAGCCTCTGTCCTGCTCTTCCTCAGCTCCCCGGCTGTCCCTCAGGGCCCCATCCAGAGTCACAGTTGTTTCCACAAAAGCGTCCCCGCCCATGGGAGCCTCTCCTAGGGAAGGCAGCGGGTGTTATCCAGCGCGTGCACGGGTGTGTCTGGAGTCGCGTGTCCTCCTGGGAGAGTGAACTAGCTGAAGGAGACCAGATTTCCTTTCCCAGGGGCTGGTTCTGGGGCTACGAAGAAACCCGGGGCTTGAATGTATCCTGCCTCTCCGTCCAAGGCTCAGCGTCTGTCGTGGCCCCTGTGCTGCTGAGGAACACGTCCGCCCGGTGAGTTGCCTGGATCTTGACCTTCCCTGGCCGCAAAACCCCAGAGCTGGAGGAAGCCAAGAGCCCGAGCCCTGGGCTGTGCCAGGCCCAGCCCCACGTGCCCTTTCCAGGGCTGGGAGACGGGCAGCATTCACACTGGTCTTCTCCAAGCTCTCCCAGAGATGGCTGGGCTGCGGGGCTGGCCAGATGGAGGCAGAGCCAGGAGGCGCCCAGCAAAGGGCTGAGGCCAAGTGTAGGACGTGACAATCACCAGCTTGAGGGGTGTGCCTTGCTCTGTCCTGAGCATCTGAGGACCCCCAACCCTTACCTCTCTGGTCTGGGTGTCAGAAGGTGCTCCAGGGTCTCATAGCCCAGCGGGGAGGACGGTCACTCTCACTCGCCACTGGGGGGCAGTGCAGCCAGTGGGACCCAGGCGTCTGAGCCGCCTCTAGTCTGGATGCCCTCCAAGTGCTGCGATCTTTGCGTTTGCTGCAGGCTCCAAGTGGCTCTGGGAACCTGGGCTGTGCAGATGCCCTTTCTGTCCCCACGCCATGCTCTGGAGTCCCCCATAGCAGGCCTTCCCATTGTCCAAGACTGGGGTTTTTTTTTTCTGGTACTGGGTGTTAAACCCAGGAACTGTGGGACCCGCGCAGTTGCTGGTCCATTTTCTGACTTGCGCTTCCAGGTTGGGATGGAGCTGAGCCTGGGGGGAACTGTAGCAGAAGAAGGTTGAGGGCAACACCTCTGCTGGGCAGCAGGGACAGGAGACGCTGTGGGGGTCACTGTCGGCCCCACAAGTCCCAGGAACCCTCTGTAGGTGAATGGAAGACCTAGGGCCTGCAACTCTCAAGACAGCACTGTGGAAAGACCAGCCGCCTCAGTTAGGCCAAATGAAGGATTCCACCCACTGAAAGAAGAGCCAGCTTGTGAAGGAGCCAGCAAGGGACTCTGTTCCCAGTGTAGACAAAGTTCCTAAAGGTGGGAAGCAAAGTGACCAAAGGCAGGACGTGGCTCGTAGAAGCAGCCGCACCTGGCAGCGGGCATGAAACCTGCTTGGCCTCTGTAGGGGCAGCGCTGGCCCTGGCACTGGTGGAAGGAGGGTAGCAGTGGGCACCGTCCCGGGGCAGAGCCGGGGGCACCGCGGTCATCCTCGTGCACATAACCTGTGTGTACCTGACACGGGCCAGGATGTGACGGGACCCCCGGGCAGACACCCACCACCCTCAGCGGCCATGAGGGGAGGGAGACACATTCCAGACGAAATGCTACCAGCTGTGCAGACCGGCCAGTTGTGGCCGTGTCAGGGCTACAGAGCCAAGCAAAGCGGAGAAAACGGGTGCAGCTGGGTTTACATGCGCAGGGTGAGGGAACTGTGCGGGAGGCCCGAGCCCCTTCCAGGCTACGGGAGCTCACGGGTGCTGGCACGTGTGCCTCTGCCACCCCGTTTCAGGGCCGCACCATGTCGGAAGCAGCAGTGCCCGCCTGTCCCACCACGTGTGCGTGTCTCCCTTCTGCAAAACCAAGCGGATGCCGCTTCCCTGTTCTCCCCACTGCACCGCGGGGCTGGGTCTTGGGGTGCAGCGGTGCTGGAGAACGGAGCCTGCCCTGGCCGGGGTCCTCTGGTGGCTCCAGGTCTGCACTGCCCAGGGAAGACTGTAGAAAGGCCTTTGTGCCCCATGGGGCACAGGAACGGAGAATCACACCAGAACCTATGTGGCTGGGAGCAGGTGCGAGGCCTGCAGTGCTGGTCTCCAGCATGCGCTGGCTCTGGATTCACCTGTGAGATGCGGGCTCTGGTCTTATACTGTGTCCATCTGAGCACACTGAAAGCCTTTGAAATGTTAATTCCATCAAGAGCCAATGTAAAGTTTTACCTATTTTTTCTCTGCACAGATATAACCTTTTCATATAGTTGAATATATCATCCTGTTCATAGAGGTTTCTGGGTCTTTTAATTCTCCTGCTCCTACCCAGCCTCCCCAGGTCCTTCCTGTTCTGTATCATTGATGGAGAACCCTTTAGAGACGAGCGCCCAAACCACTCGTTTATTGCAGAGTTCCACACTGCAATTAAACCTGAGTACTGAGGTTTTAGTTTAGAAACACAACTCAAACACGTGGCTTGTGTGCCGATGACAGGGCTGTGTGCCTGCTGCAACGCCGTGTGCCCTAGGTTCACCGCCACTGCTGATTCTGGCCCAGGGCTGGTGGTAAGAGTGAAGGCTGGAGATGCCCGCTGTGCCCCATGCAGGTGCCACAGCTGCTGTCCAGACAGCACCTACCTAGGCACTGGCATGAGAGGTGCAGCGGAGAAGTCTCTGGAGGTAGTGTGCTAGTTAGGGCCCGAGATGCCCAGGAGAGAGAGGCCTTGTGCCTGTTCGGAGGTGATTTTTGTCACAGTGGTAAGCATGAGCTTTTCTGCCCTGTCGTTTGTGTCACGCTGTCCTTACTGTAACACAGGTGGAGGATTTTCTGATGTTGAACCATCTCTGCATTCCTGGAAGAAGTCCCTTGGCACGTGTGTTCTGTCCATGTTTGCTGTTCTGATCTGTTTCCTCGCGTTTCCACTGCCCCTCAGCCTCCCCCGTTTGCCTGGCGTACACGCTGCAGTCCCGGGCAGACTTTCAGGGTTGCTTGGCCCCGGCTTCTCCTTGCAGGGCTTCCAGAAGGGGAAGACAGAATCACATTGAACTGTGACAATCCTTAAACTCTTTCTTCTAGGTCTGTGATGTTAGACAGAGCTGAAAACCTGCTCCATGACCACTATGGAGGAAAAGAATACTGGGACGTGAGTGTTTCCGAAGGGCCGCTTTCTCATTTGCTCATGCTGTGTGGATGTGTGCAGTGTCCGGAAGTTTGAAATAGCAGCTCTTCTGCTTCTGTGGCTGAGGTGACGGAGCTCTCGGGAGCCTCCCCTCCCCCTGGGAGCAGGGGTTCCATACGGGTGGCTGTGCGGCAGGGTGAGGACCCCACCGTGGGCTCGGTGTCTCAAGGACGCACTGGCCCTCACCTGCTGGGGGATGGCCAGCCCGAGCTGTCCTCTCCTCTCCTCTTCCTCCTCCTTGTGGGTCTGTCCGCGGAGAGCCTAGAGCTTTTGGCTTATCCCTCTTTAGTTGGGCCAGGTGGGGTATAGTGCAGTGAGCACTTACCGCTGGGTCGGTTTGGGGGGCCTGGGTGACAGCTGAGGACAGCAGTCGGGCTGAGTGGGTCATTTGGCTGGAGCAGCCACTGAGGACCTTGTGGCCTTCGCTGCAGCTTATAAAGCAGGAGTGTGGTCTGGAAAAGAGACACAGTCGTTGAGCTTGACTAGGGGCACGGTGGGCCTGAGGTGGAGGGCAGCGCACAGGCTCCACTGGAGGATCCTTCCTTGGAGCCTGTCCCAGTGCCAGGCAGCAGTGCTGCTCAGAGGCCAAGGGCGGTGTCCAGCCTGGGACTGCACGGGCAGGAGGAGACCGAGAGCCCAGCCTCGAGGGCTGCGCAGCCTTGTCCTCAATACCCAGCTCCTGTGCAAGCGGTGCGGGGTGAGGCGGGGTCCAGTGCCTGTGTGCGAGACCATGCATGCCCACTGGGCCCTCTGCAGACCCGGAGGAGCATGGTGTTTGCCAAGCATCTGCGTGTGGCCGGAGATGAGTTCCGGAGCAAGTTCCTCGACTCCAGCGATGCCGCGGACAGTGTCCCCGCCGAGGAGGACTGGACAAAGCTGAAGGTAGCGTGCTCTCTGCACAGCGAGGCATGACTGGGTCGGGCGCATCGGCTGCCACCTCTTGCTGCGATGTTTTGCTGTGCCCCAGATGCGAATCCCAGCAGTGACTGGCCTCTCCAAGGGACCGGGCACAGCTCTCCTCCAAGCAGGTGCCGGGCAGGTGCGGGGAGCGTGCCCCACATGGGCTTCTCTCGAGTGAAGTTCCTGCAGGTTCCCAGCATGGAGGCCGCTTAGCGTTCTGTGAGCGAGATTTTAAGAAACACGCGAGCTGATGTCAAGGTTGTGTTTGGAGTCGCTCTGTGTTCCTTGTGACGGGCGGGGCGAGAAGGGCTGTAGGGAGCAGCACCAGCACGGTTGGGTCTAGCAACAGCCTTTTAAGTTTCATGAGTGATTCTTAATATTTACTGGAGTCAGAGTTTTCCCGCGGTGTAGTTTCATGAAGGTACTGTTGTCATTTCTGGTGCCTTTGCTAGGCACCTTGTGTTCTCCTAGCAGACCCTGTGTTCTCCAGATGTCTGGGTGGTTTCCGGAGGGCACTGCTGGAGTAACCCTAGGTCCTGTGCTGGGATGGTCCTTACTGGAAAGCAAGCCCTGTGTAGGAGGGTGTTTCTCTGAGTTCCACTTAGTTTTTAGTTCACTCAGACAAAGAGTGTGATAATTAACCACTTCTCTTCAGAAGCATCCTGACCCCCATTCTGGAGGGGATGCATGGAGGATGCCGTGGGGCACACTCGTGCCCTCCCCATCCTGAGACGCCGGGTGCAGGAGCTCTCACCTTTGTCCTCTGCTAGGTCAAGCTGGGCTCCTCACTCGGAGGTCCGTACCTCGCTGTCCACCTGCGGAGGAAGGACTTTATCTGGGGCCACCAGCAGGATGTGCCCAGCCTGGAGGGTGCGGCCAGGAAGATCCGCAGCCTCATGACGGAGCACCAGCTGCCCAGGGTGTTTGTGGCCACAGATGCCATCAGGAAGGGTAGGGGCTCTGAACAGTGACTGTTTTGTCCCTTTGGCCCCTGGTGCAGTGCTGGGCAGCCCTGGCATGCATCATCATCCTCTGTAGTCCTGCGGGCAGAACCAGGCTCTGTCCTCACCTCTCAGTCCGCTGCTGAAGGTACGGGCAGCAGACCCTGCCCAGGTACATGTCTGTCCGCACCGAGGACCTCACGTCAGCACCTCTCCTCTGCCTTGCAGAACAGGAAGAGCTGAAGAGGCTGCTGCCTGAGATGGTGAGGTTTGAGCCCACCTGGGAGGAGCTGGAGCTGTTCAAGGATGGGGGCGTTGCCATCATTGACCAGTGGATCTGTGCACATGCCAGGTGCCTACCTGCCCTACTCTGCCTACCCTGCCCTGCTGCTTGGGGGCCACTTTCCCAGGTTCTCACCATCAGCATAGACCTCACCACAGGGCACACTTTGCAAGTTTCCTCATCAGTCATGGGCCTCGCTCACTGCCTTCCTGAGTTCAGACCTCTCCTCTCCTAGTACGTCCCATTGCCTGGTCCCCACCCTGACAGTCGCCAGTCCCTGGTGTGGCTGGCATCCTGAGGACACGGTTCAGGGGGGCCCACGCTGGGTCTCAGGCTCTCAGAGGGAGGCCCGGCCCCAGGACCTTGGGTGGGGAACCAGGGCTGAGACTGGCTCTGCAGGTTCAAGTCAAACAGAAACTCAAAGAGCGTGGTCACTGTTGGTGTGGGCACAGGAAGTGCACAGGCTGGTCTGCGGGCTGACCTGAGGTGGGCCACTGGCGCTGTCCCCAACAGCAGGGCTCCATGGCCTGCCGGGCAGGCGCAAGGTAGGTTTTTTTCTTCTTGGGGCCAGCTGTGTACAGTACACAGTGGCTGGCAGCGTCCGGTGGCCTGAACGCTACTCTGGGGCACTGGAGGCTGCACGTCCCCTCCTGCCTTGGTGTCCTCAGGAAGTTCCATGGCATCTGTGTAAGGTGTCACCCAGCGTAAAAGCACTGCAGCCCCAGGCCACCCCACGGTCACATCCACTGCTGAGCTCGCAGCTGTGCTGTAGAAACATCTCAGGCCTCTCAGCCACCGCACCACCCTGGCCTGTGCTGGCAGAGGGCACAGGACGGAGGTGCTGGCAGAGCCACCAGGGCACAGGGATCCAGGGTCCCCGCCCACCTCACGTGGTGCTGCGGCAGCTGAGGTCCTGTGTGGCTCTGGGAACCTCTCGTGTCGCTCTGCAGGGTTTTCATCGGCACGTCGGTCTCCACGTTTTCTTTTCGGATTCATGAGGAAAGAGAAATCCTGGGGTTTGATCCCAAGACGACGTACAACCGGTTCTGTGGCGACCAGGAGAAAGCGTGTGAGCAGCCCACCCACTGGAAGGTCACATACTGAGGCTGCGTGTGTGTCCACTGCCGAGGGAGGGCCCGGACCAGAGGTAGCCGCACTCTGGGCACAACACATCTCAGTGGTGCCCTGGCCCGGTGCGTCATTCGGCGAGGTCCCCTTTTAATACACAATGCAGGAGCTGCTCAGCCTACTGCTGAGCAGGGAGAGGAGGGTGTGCCCGTAGCCACCCTCTCAGGGCCACCTCTGGGTGTGCGGCTCTGTTGTCTCCTGGGGTGGCCAGGGGGGCGTGAGACCCGCCCACCCTGCACTTGCCAGGCACACCCTCCTCTGTCCACATGGAAACACGGTGTGCTCGACTCCCGGGGGCTTCCAGGCCCACGCAGACTGCCAAGAAGTGACAGCCGTGCCAACGTCCAACGTAGAGACCGCGTCAAGATAAGCTGCTTCATCAGTAGCTCTGTGTCATCTCGCAGGACTCCTTTTCCAGTCTTCACACTGCCACCACCAGGACACTGTCGGCCCCTGAAGGGGCAGTGCAGCCTCAGACCTGCAGCCACTCATGCCCCTACAGGACTTCACTGCGGTGTCAAACACCATGCGGCCACTTCCTTGGTCCAATGGTGACACGGCACCCTCACCTTCCCTAGTGCAGAGCTGGTGAATCCTTGTGTCCCCTCCCCAGATACTGGCATGGCCTCCAAGCGCTGTCACCAGGCCGCCAGGTGGAGTGATCACATATTTATTCTTTCCCATTTGTATATTCAAAAATTAATAAAAGAAATTTTCTAGAAAGCTGTGATCCCAGAAATGGTTCCTTTCTCACACCTGGGAATTTTGTAGGCTGGGAGAGTATGCGGGCATATGGGGCTGTATTGGTCCCTCCTGGTAGGAAGAGGAAACTGCTCTGTGGCACTTGGTGTGGAGCATGGTGTCACTGCCACAGGGCAGGACAGGTGACCTCAGGGTGCCTGGAAGACCGCAGCCAGCCTGGCAGGTCAGGGTTGACTCAAGCCTATGGACCGTGCAGGCCTAGGTCCCTATCAGGACACCATGTGGCTCAGACCTGCTCCTAGGGGACAGTAGGCCTTTGTTAACATCCACAGCACACAGCGCTCTGTTCACTGCTGGGAGAGTTGTTGAGGGCCAAGAACTCCACAACTGTAGGAAGTTAAAAAGGACCCACCTTGCAGGTGGCAGAGAGGGCACTGTAGCCCCCATGGGCAGTGTCCTCAGGAAGGACACAGGAATGCTGTGCTAGGTGGTGGCAAAGGCTGCAGGAGCCAGGGTAAGGCCTTCAGTGGGCCAGGGAGGGTGAGGCAGCAGTTAGGGTCACCACAGGGCTGAGGCCATGTGGCTGCAGCCCACAGTTCTGTGGCCCAAAGGACACTGGTCAGACAACAGTGCCAGAAACTTCAGCCACGTTTACCCAAGTTTATCTGAGAGAACAGACGACCACGCATGAGACGAGGTAGACCTTGAGGTGAGGCACAGGGACCCAGGAGCCCAGCTGAGTGTTAGGAGGAAACTGATGTTCACAGCAGGACAGGATGTGAGTCCTGGTGTCCGGACCATGGATTGTGCTGGCACCAGTGCCCACTGCTCCCAGGTTAAGGGGTAGGGGTGTGGGGATAAAGCCCACAGGCCCACAAAGGTAGGGTCATGGTGAGCCTCTTAGTGGCAGGGGGCAGGTGCAATAGGGCACAGTCCCATTCTGGATAGAGGTTAGGACCCCAACACAGGACTCAGAGATGCCCTTCTTGGACCCAGTGTGGCCCCTCAGCTTCGCTCCATGGAGAGACTCCCTCTCCTGCTCCTCACACTAAGGGCAGCCGAGCCCAGGGACCAGAGCCGTGACCCTCAGCCACACAGCAGGTCACAGGACATGGCATGAGGGCGTGTGAAAGGACACAGGCAAGGAAGCCATCACTGCTGCCCAGCCACCCTCACCCTCCAACCCTGGCAGGGTCCATGGGGAAGGACCAGTGACCAACTTCACAGCGAGGCAGTGCCAGGAACCATCTGCCAACAGGCTCCAGCCATCACTCCGGCCACACAGGCTAAGGGAGGCTGGAGGTGAGGGAGGGAATGGCCCATGACAAATTCCACCCTTGTTTCTAGCAGAGATCTCTTTAGGAGAGACCCAGCTGGGACAGGGCACCCAGCCTTGGGACCTGAAGGCGCCACAGATCCACTGACATCCCTCTCCTGCCCTGAATGAGCAGCTCACCCACCTGGGCACAGATACATGGGACATGAGCCTCAGCCCAAAGCAAAGCAACAAAAACATCTTCAGAATTCCTAACCTCACATCACACATGCCTGCATACACGCGTGCCTGCACACTGTTCCCAAGCAGGCTGCTTCGGGTGCTGGCAGAAGCAAACACAATCCTGGAGGGGTCCGCCCTCAAGTGCCCTAGAGGACGCCACTACAGAAAGTCAGGCACCGTGTACAAGGTCAGCAAGAACACCACCACAGCCCCACTGAGGGCTGCCCCCAACTCAGAACCTGTAGCCACTGTGATCCATGTTTACAGAGATAAATGATGAGTCCTGGAAAGTGACAAAGGGACAAGATGCTGTCAAAAGCAATGTGTAAGCTAGGTGCACTAACATACCCAGGATCAGTTTTTCAGGAGGCCGAGGCAGGGGGATTGCAGTTTGACGCTAGCCTGGGCAACTTGGCAAGATCCTGTCTCAAAACGGGCAGGAGACGTAGTTCAGTGGTATCTCCTAGCATTTGTGAGGCCCTGGTTTTTTGTTTTTGTTTTTTTGGTACTGGAGATCAAACTCAGAACCTTGCACTTGCAAGGCAGGCAGCAGATGTGAGGCCCTGGTTTTAAGCACCCGCTATAAAAACCCAACATCTAGAAGTGAAAACAGCAAGTGAATCACAACATCTTAGCAGAAATGTGACACCCAAGAAATAACCGGTGTGTGGAGTGACCACTCTGACCACAGCACGGAACGCCAGAGGTGGAAGACGAGAGTGCGGAGGACAGGAGACTGAGCAGGCCAGTGTTCATCTGGCTGACCTCGCAGAGAGAAGACAGGATGCAGGAGTCACACTTGGAGATGCCAAGGCGACTTTTCTGGGTGAGACCCCATGTCTGGAAGGACGACAGACAGCAGCAGGTGACACCACCCACGGGTGTCCGCGAGACTGTAACAGGCGGACCTGGGGCCCGAGAGAGAGAGGGCAGAGCTGGTGTTGGCTTCGTCACACCCAGGCTGCCGGGAAGGAGACACACGCGGTCCACGAGAAGGGCGCGGTCCACCTAGCTGTGCATCACCAGCAAAACTGTCCTCCAAGGACAAAAGCAACACGTAAGTCCCACGGAGATGGTGATGGTGGGCCGTGCCGCAGAGGCCCCTGAAATCTCAGAGACAAGTGGGAAGTGTCCCAGTGAACGGGAGTGATTCGCGTGATGGCACAGCAGACGTGATCACGGTGCTCCTCTGTGTGACTTCATACTGCAATGGCTGACGAGGTCTGTGAAGGACTGCGTCAGGGCAGGGGTTCAGCTGACAAACTTCTGTTGGCCTCACAGTCTGGATTGATTTTGCACTGCCTTGAACACAACCCTCTCAAAAATAGTGCTTCCAAAAAGATTAGTGTTGACACACGAGTGCTGACACTACGCTGTGAAGGTAGGCATGTGCCTATCAAGGCACATGCCTTCAACTGTTTATGTCACTGTTTGAATTAAGCCATTAAGTTGCCTAAGCTCCTTCACGAAAAACTGGACTTCGTACTAGAAAAGCCTGCTTTCCCGATTAGGCAGAATTTTGAAATGACCGTGAAACAAGAGAAAAGCAACACAAAGCTAGTTGGCTTTTTCCTTTTCTGGCCTGACCCTGGCGATTTAATTTAAGAAAAAGAATGGCGGGCGTGGTGGCGCACGCCTGTAATCCCAGCACTTGGGGAGGCTGAGGCAGGAATTCAAATCCTGCCTGGGCAATTTAGTGAGACTTTGTCTGTAAACAAAAAGGATAGGGACATAGCTTAGTGTGGAAGCCCTCAATGGAGCAGTACAAAAACCAAACCAAACCAAACAAAAAATAGCAAAACAAGCCTCAGCTGGAATGGAACCTCCATGAAGACGCCGCAATAAAAAAATCTGACTGAATGTGCAGTAATGGAGGGGTAGTTTAGTAACTGAAGTACATAAGCTGGCACATTGAAAATATAATTATTGAAATCAAGCCATGAAACAGTAACTTTCTGTTTTTAAAACTGCTACAATGTACCTACAAGTGACACACACACACACACACACACACACACACACACACACACACACTGGCAGAGCAAGGCCCACTAACTTGGTTGCAAAGGGAGCAAAGGGAGCTATTTCTCAGGATACAGGCACAGAAGGACCTGACCCCAGATATCCTTGGGACTCTCAGGAATGAGCAGGACCTGAAGAACGACGGCAGTCACCACAGCACGATTAGAAGCCAGGCGCTGCCAAAGCTACAGGGAAATCCCCATCCCACTGCCACCAACTCACAGCCACCAGTGCTATCATCAGACCGCACCCTGCCTGGCGGGGAGCAGAGGGAGTGGCCCCCCATCTCCATGCCTGCAACAACACACGGCTCCTTCCATCGGCAAAGCTGGGCCACAGCATTGGCTCTGATGGGGGTCAGGTCGCCAGCCCACGCCCGGTGTCATTAGGACACAGGGGCAAAGGACTTGGCTTGAGGCACAGTGAAACGGGAAAACGGCACAAGGACACGTGCAGCATCTCATGACTAAGACTCATGTGACATAAGACATGGGCCAGGCTCGGCAGCATTCCTCTGCAAGGCCAGGTTTTCCCAGCCCTGGTTTCCTGTTAGAAGAGACCTAGTGCTTTCTGATGGACACACTGTCACTGCC